CAGGAATGAAATATTCCCCAAAACTTTAGAATTTCTACGTAATATAGTTGACACTACTATTCCCAATAGAACTGCTTTTAATCTCCAAGGGCTGTAGGAAGGGTTTTCAAAAGGGAAGGCAGTGAGTCAAGGAAGAGAAGTGTGTTTCATTAGACTTAGGAAATCTTGGCATCACTGCTTTTCCTGCCAAGTTAAGTACCTTTCCCTTCAAAAATCATATCCATGTCCACATTTTTATAATCACTCTTATGTTAATGTCACCTTTCCTTCTCTAAGAATAGCTACCATTTATTCAGCACCAACCATACTAGGGACATAATGTTATGTGCTTATGCTAGGTGCTGGAGTCCCAAAGATGAGTAAGACAAAGACTTAAATGTGACAAGTTCTGTAACAAAGGCATGTACAAAGTTGCACCTTAACTATGGAGGTGGGACCAAGCCCTACAAAGGGAAAGACCAGTTTTAAGGGATGAGTGTTTCAGTTGCAGGAGAGTGGAGGCAGAGTGGGCAACATGTTAAAGGTATGGAGACTTGAGAGAGAAGATTTTTTTTCAAAGACCGCTAACAATGTAATAAGGTCTAAGGAGAATGGGGTATTTCAACTGAAGCACATGGAAAAGATTATTGTTGCAGTACAAGAAATAAGGCCTTGACTAAGAAAGCAGTAGGAATAAAGAAGGGACAGAAGAAGAGCCAGACTCAAAAGGACTTGATGATTAAGTATGGGGGGGGTGGAGAATAAGACATGATTTTGAGGTTGCTAGTAAGTATTTTGTGTGACAGAGTAAATGGTAATGCCATTACGGAAGGTAAAGAATGCAAAAGGAGCCCGTTTTAAAGGGCACTCAAGTAGCATAAGAGAAAACTGAAGCTGGGGGCACTGAAGAGATCACCCAGGGAGAAAAAATAGTACTGAATGAGGGCTGTGGGTGAGACTCTAGGGGAAAAATCTGAGAGGAATCTTGTCTATCACAAACTCCAAAGAAAGTATGCAAGGAGGGAGTTGTAGAAGGTTATGAATAGATCAAGAAGGGTGAGGGCTAATTAAAAGACACTAGATTTGACAAGGGGGTCATCTCTGGTCACCTTTCCCAGAATATTGTAAGAAAACAGTAGGACATAAAGATAGAGATCAGTAAGCTAAGGGATGACTTGGAAGCGAGCACATGGAGGTGGAAGGCATCTCCAGAGAAGGGGCATGAGGGTAGTAGGATTTGTGGTCTTTCCTTTTGGGCTAGAGAAGATATTTACTATATTTATACACAGAAAGAAAGCACTAAGTGCTGACATGAAGATACAGGAAACATAGGATAGGAGACAAAGGAGGAGGGATCCAGCATACAAGTAGAGTTTAGAAAAGAAGGACACTTTTCCCTCAGAAACTAAAAATGGGTGTTATAAGAGCAGGTAAAAGTATAAATACAAGTAGAGAAAGAGGATAAGCATGTTGGTAATTAATTTCAAATTAAAAATAGCACCTGAAAATAACACAGATGTAACAGTATCTTATTTAGCTTACACAGGAAAAAACTGCAAAACAACCAATGCTTACTTAGTTAAAAAAAAAACCCACTTAGCTATTCTAATAGTCAGTGTTTAAACTGATCAGTGCTAATTAACACAAAATTATGAGATTCTGTATTTTTAAAAAAACTTACTACCTATCAATCACCATTTGGAGGCATCCTGGGTTCATATTTTGAAAAGGAAAGAAACTGCACCTTCAGTCTTTTCCTTTTCCCTGGTAAGTTCTATTAAAAGTATGTCATGTGCTTATGATTTTAAAAATTTTAATACAGAAATATTTCATTGTGAAATAATAATTTCTGAGGAATAACAGTACTTAGGAGTCTTTAATCTTTTTTTTTTCCCTGAACTAACCTGACTCCCAAGTCTTATCTTGTTCTCCTTCCTATTTCCCAGTATCAATCAACTCAGAATTTTTATTTATATGACATTCACACATTCCTCAGTTTGATTGAATTGACTAGTCTATGTAAATTTATGATTTGGTTGGACACTGTATAAATGAAATGACACATTGCTTCTATCTCAGAATATGCTCTCAATATTTAGGGTAGGTTCTGGTTGTAAGATAAACTAGGTCTTTAATAATTACTCAGCATCATGATAATTCTATCACAATTAAGGTTATTGCCCAATTTTTTTTTTAGTCAGGGGTCTCACTCTGTCACCTAGACTGGAGTGCAGTGGCACGATCGCGGCTCACTGCAGCCTAGAACTCCTGAGCCCAAGTGATCTTTCTGTCTCAGCCTCCTGAGTAGCTGGGACTACAGGCACTTGCCGCCACATCAGGCTAATTTTTTGATTTTTTAATAGAGATGAGGTCTTGCTATGTTGCCAAGGCTAGTCTTGAACTTCTGGGCTCAAACAATCCTCCTGCCTTGGCCTCCAAAAGTGCTAGGATTACAGGTACGAGTCACTGTGCCTAGCTTACTGCCCAACTTTTATCTAAAATACTAAAATATAGTGATCTAGTTAATCCTTAAAATATCTTTAGAAGACAAAAGGGCAAAATTAATTATATATCAAATGGCAACTTCTACTAAAATATAACTGTGTGCTGAATCACAAATAAAATGTTTCTAAATGCTAGAATTACTAAAAGTCAAGAAAGAAATAGTAAATAAAGTGTAATGACAGCTATAACAACTCAGATAAAGTTTGCAGAAACAACTAGGAAGCACTGAAAATTTTAAATCTCATTAAGGAGGCAGCAGAGATTATGCAGCATTCAGCTCAACATTTGAGGCTAGCCAAACGAATGCCTGACACGTCTCTTTTGCAAATCTTGTACTCTTAAAAGAAAATGTGTTTTAAGTGTTACTCAGTCTGGAAGTAGCAATGAGCTTGAGCCTCATGATGCCAAAATGTGGATTTAAAAGATTATCAATGAACAGATGTTTTACTTTCAATAAAATCTCTTTTCATAAAGGGGAAAAAAACTCCCAGAATATCGCCCAAATTCTACCATCACTTTGCCACCAGGATTATTTTGCCTTCAAACAATTTGTATTACCATTTTAAATCCTGGATTCAAATGTAGATGATTCTGATATAAACTCAATGTCACATTAAATAAGACTGAAAAAATCAGAAACATCTAGTAAGTAAAGCTATTCAGTCTTTCAAAACACAAAGTTCTGTAAGTAATACTTTGAATATTCAATAAATATTTACTGAATGCTTAATATGAGGCAGATATTTTCCTACAAACTGAAGACACAACAGTAAACAAAACACAAAGATTTCTAACCTCATGGAGCTTATACAGAAAAACAGTAAGCAACTAAATACTTAGTAAAGTCAGGTTGTGGTAAGTGTTATAGACACATAAAAAAAGGAAGGACAGGGAATGCTGATGTGTAAGTCAAGAAAGGGTTTGATCAGTAACAGTTGAGTGAGACCTGAAGGATGTAAGAGAGTAAGCTACACATATATCTGGGAGAAGAACATTCAAGGCAGAGGGAATACCAAGTACAAAGAGTCTGAGGCAGGAGCATACTTGATGCTTTGAGGAGCACTAAGGCCAGAATGCCTGGAGCGGCATGAGTGGGGAGAAGTGGTAGTATGTGAGGTAGGACAATGAGTCTAGGCCTGCTAATTTTAAGGACTTTGATCTCTACTCAGTGAGATGAGAAGCCACTGGATGGTTCTGAGCAGATGATAATATGATTTGACTTGTTTTAAAAAAAATCACTCTTGGCCAGGCACGGTGGCTCATACTTCTCATCTCAGCACTTTGGGGGGGGGTGAAGGTGAGAAGACTGCCTGAGCCCAGGGGTTCAAGACCAGCCTGGGCAACCTTGGCGAGACCTTGTCTCTACAATAAATCAAAAAAATTAGCGGGGCATGGTGGTGCATGTCTGTAGTTCCAGCTACATGGAAGGCTGAGGCAGAAGGAACACCTGAGCCCAGCAGGTCAAGCCTGCGGTGGCCATGAGTGTGCCACTGCACTCCAACCTGGGCAACAGAGTGAGACTCCAATTCAAAAAAATTAAAAAAAAAAAAAAAAATCACTCTGGCTACTTCATGGGGGGACAGACTTTAAACAAGGATTTAAGGAGAGTTTTTGAAGATGACAGCTTCAGTTCAGGCAAGAGATGGTGGCTGTTTGGAATAGGGTGCTAAAAGTAGAGGTGGTCAGCTTTGGATGTATTTTGAAGTCAGGGCCTACTGGATGTGCAAAAGGATTGGCTATGGGAGATAAAAGAAGAATCAGGGATGCCTCCAAGGTTTTGTTCTAAGCAACCAGAAGCATGGCATTGCCATTTACTGAATTGGGAAAGACTGAAGAAGCAAGTTTGGGAGGGAAGTTCAAGAACTCAGTTTTGGATCTGTTGAGTTTGAATTTTAATTAGATTTCTAAGTAGCAATGTCAATTAGACAGTTTTATGAGATCAGAGGAAGTGAGGATATCTAAGGAGAAAGATTCAAGGAAACTTCTTCCCTTAAAAAATATGAGTGTAAAGCTAAAATCATAAGCAATGTTAAAAGTATGAATTTAAATAATAAAAATGTAGAAAACCTCCCATTCCTCCCACTTCAACTGCCCAACTTAACATTTTAAAGATGTTTTGGGTACATATAAATCTAAGAAACTCCAAGAAGCCTCAGAAAACCCCTTAGGGGTTACCTTGGCCCATGGGCCTTAAAAGTAATAAGAAATTAATTTTTCCAATGGCATAGCCATTACGGTTTACCTTAAATTTGCTTGAAAGCAAAGAACATATTAATACATTATAAGATAAGTATAAAAAAAGCACATTTGGAAAAACTAGAGCCCTGTTTTAACTATTTCCTCAGAATCTGTCCTGGGGAAATGCAGTGGGACTCTAAAGAGAGAATTCACGCCACATATGGTATCAGTTACTATCTTTCAAAAGAAATAGCAAAGTTTCTATTTCTGAATTTTCTTTTTATGATATCTTCCAATGTTATATTCTACATATCCAAAGTTTTATACTTCTTCCCTGAACAATAAAAAACTCTTGTATTCTATTCTCAAACGTAAAATGTTGCACCTATATATGTAGTATCAAAATAACTGCAAATACTTGAAAGGATTTAATCTTGCAAGTTATACTTGAAAAAATTCACATGCAAAGGAGTCATTCAATTGCTCATTTTGCATAGTGCCAATACCTGAATACTGACTATTTTGAACAAAACTCTGACTGTTTGGATTGGTACTGTTTGACGGTCCCGACTCACTTATCATGTTGTTATCTGCACAATTGAAGTCAGATCCCTCAAATGCATCTAATTGTGAAACAAAAACAGTAGTACTGGAACTCGTGCCTGCTGACATATTGGAAGAGGACATCTGATGGAGCTGTCTCAAGTCTCTTGGATCTAACACGGAATTACAGGAGGGGTTTTCAAGATTCATGCTCACAAGTCTTGGATTATCAGTCTCCCCCATGCTATCATTGCTGGTTGTCATCATATTCACAGGGCAAGTAGGCAGCATGTTGGCATCAGAAATATATAAGTCAGCAGGTGATATGGATGATGCTTCCATTCTGCCTATGTCATCAGCATTGTTATAAATGCAAGCAGTAGAAGCATTTAAATCACTCACACCAGGTATTTCCAGGAATGGTGGAATACCTGGTGAATTAGAGGCGATTGTCCCTGTTGAAAAACTACTCAGTGTATTTGAATTGATTGAGCGTGAGGTGGGGTGGGCCACTGATGACCAGCTTGAAGAAGGCTGAGGGACCACTGTGTGTATGGCTGGAGTATGATGCGAAAATCCACTTGAGATGGACACAGGTGAGGAATAGTAGGGTTCTGCTTGACTTGAAACTCCTGAAGGCCTGGGCATTTCTGTTAAAACTTCACGATGAGGAAACAAGTTTGATTCTGTGGGGAGAAAAATTTATTTTTCAGAATTAAAATGAGCAAAATCATTAATAATATTATTTCTACTAAAATTTGTTAAAAGTGTAAATTTACTTTTAACATAAATTTACTTTAAGTGCATAAACATTTAAAGAAAAGTTTTCTTTTTTTATTTGAGTTGAAGTCTCACTCTGTTGCCCAGTCTGAAGTGCAATGGCACACTCATGGCCACTGCAGTCTCAGCCTGCTGGGCTCAAGTGGTCCTTCTGCCTAAGCCTTCCAAGTAGCCGGGACCAAGGTGCATGCCACCATACCCAGCTAATTTTTTTATTTATTGTAGAGATGAGGGCTTGCCAAGTTGCCTAGGCTGATCTCAAACCTGTGGGCTCAGGCTATCCTCTCTCACCTTGGCCTCCCGAAGGGCTGGGACTATAGGCATGAGCCACTGCACCTGGCCTAAAGAAAAATTTTCAAGGAAACTGATATAACATCTTAAATAAAAAATTTAAAAAGCACTAAAATGATTACACAAGTCCAAAACTAAATTCTGTAACATATACTGTTGTACAAATAAAGATAAAAATTTTTTTATGCGTTATTTTGGCATATGAAATTTCACTACAGTTAAATATGAAAATCTAGCTTCTAAGGTTCTATTAAAGGTATTTTTGTGGGGTTTTTTTTTGCTTGTTTGATTCAGGGAGTACATGTGCAAGTTTGTTATAGGGATATATTGTAGGATCCTGAGGTTTGGGTCTCTCCTGAACCTGCCACACAAATAGTGAGCATAGTACCCAATGGTAATTTTTTAGCCATTGCCCTCCTCTCAGTTTTTGGAGACTCTGTGTCTGTCATTTCCATCTTTCTATAAAGGTATTTTTGAAAAGTAAAAGATAAACATCAGAATTTCAATTAATAGGATTCTAAACAGCCAGAATCATTTTATACTTTCAGGAGAAAATGAAGAATGAAGAAAACATTTATTAGGGATCCTTAAAAATACATCTAGCTGGGTTCAGTGGCTCAGCCTGTAATCCCGCGCTTTGGGAGGCTGAGGAGAGTGAATTACCTGAGCCCGCGGGTTCGAGACCCACCTGGGCAACTTGGCAAGACCTCATCTCTACAATTAATCAAAAAAATTAGCCAGGCGTGGTTGTGTGCGCCTGTAATTCCAGCTGAGGCTGAGGCGGAAGGATCGCCGAAGTCTAGCAGGTCGAGGCTGCGGTGGCCGGGAGCAGCCACAGCACTCCAGTCTGGGTGACAGAGTGAGACTCCAACTCAAAAAAAAAGAAAAAAAAATACATCTAACTTTTAAGATACATTAAGACAGAACCCTAAGATACTATAACATTTGTAGTTAGAAAAAAATTATAGAAAAAATTAATTCTGTATTATTTGCCTATTATACAAATCCTGTACATAAAAAACAGGAAAAAGCACTAATTTAAGAATGTAAGGGGGAAAAAAAGACTTCCAATTAACCCTTGGTTGAATTTTGTTGGCATGTTTTTTTTTTTTCTTTCCTGTAAAAGGCCAGATAGTAAATATTTTAGGTTTTGTGGACTATAAAGCCTCTGTTGGAACTATTCAACCCTGTTATTGTAGAGTTGGAAAAAAAAAGCAATTCAGAGACAATACATAATCCAATAAGCACTGCTGTGTTTTGTAAAACTTTATTTATAAAAATAGGTAATAATGACATCAATACCATTTCTTCCCTAATACACTGTAATGAGTAAAATGATCTTTTACTGTAGAACAAAATAGTTTCTGGAACAATAAATCCTGAAAACATTATCAGTTTCCAACAACCTTAAGAAGTCAAGTTCAATTCTACACTGAAAGCATGAGAAAATTCAGAGAGAAAAATGTCAAAGCAGCAGCTATTCATTCCTAAAAATGGAATTCTAATATATCAGGCAAATCACTGGTCTTTCTGATCACAAGGAATACTCTGCAAGGAATAAAATACCTTTTTTGATGTATCTTCCTTCTCCAATTGATCCTAGGGAGGCAGGTCTTGGTCTCTCAGGAAAATTAACTGTTAAGATAAAGTTTTTCCATTACTAAATGTCATTTGAAAAATAACACTATCAGTTAAAACATGAATAACTGAATAAAGCAAAAAAAAAAACCCCCAAAATCTATTTAAATATGAATCGATCAAAAATATTCTTACCACAATCCTGCCAGAGTTTTTGAAAAAGTAGAGTTGTCTTTTGTTTCTTTGATTTATTGCCATAAGCATCTGATTAGAAAGAAACCCGGAAAGCAAGTGAAACATCATAGGGTTGTTTCTTCTCCATTAATAAACAGGTGTTTTATTCATATACAGAAAATTATTTAAATAAATGTGAATATGGATTAAGTATTGTATGTGTCCCAAATCAGTAGTAAAGGGTATATTTCCCCAAGTAAAAAATAGTTTAAAATATTCATCTTGTTTTCTTATAACTCGACAATGTCAACTGATGCAATAAGATCTGATAAGAACCAAAACAGAGAGTACTCTCTGAGTGGCAAGCTTCCTCTCTATAAAAAGGACACAATAAGAACACAAATAGATCTTCAAAAATAAAACAAATTTTGATAAACAGTTTAGATACTTTTGAATATTCCAGATTGATCAAATTTCTTTTTAAGAAAGAGATGCAAAGAGCATAAAGAGAAAAACCAATTGAAAACTTTCAGGAAAAGAAACATAACTTATGGATGGATACACATAACTGTATTCAAATGGAGCTTATGAGGAAATGTTATTAGTAGGACCACTTTAAGAAATATATAAATCATTACCACCAAATGTCATACCTTTTTCATCTGGGAGATATCTAAAATCCATAGATTCACTAACTTCCTGGTCAGAAGGTCTCCGCAGCTGCATTTTTACTGTTACTGGTTCCATTATAGCTTTGCAATAAGGTGGAGTTTTGAAAACAATGGCTACTTGACGGTGTACATCAGCTTGTGAGAAGATACCTTTTGCTTCCCAATCGTTCAACACAAAACGAACTTCTATGTCATCTGGTGAATAACAAACCAAAAAAAAAATAATAATGGGAAAACAAAGTAAAATATATTTATTAATCTAAAATATATTCTGAATTCAATGAAACAAACAAAACAAATAAATACCTTTCTGAACTTTGTCACAAAGTAGAAATATTTCATCTCCTCCTCTGACACTTCCACAGTTCTTGTTTACACGACAAATCCTTAATTCTGCAGTATTTGGAGCACCTAAATATACAGGATTTTTTAAAAAATGAGCTGCTACCTTATTAATATATTTTATTTCTTTTTCAAGGGGTGAATTTAAGAAAAACCATTCACAGAATACAAAAAAGTTTTAGTGCATAAAGGACACTAAATACATTAATCACCTATATCTGTTCCTTTCCTTTCTAATTGCTTTACCTAACCTGGTTTAGAGCCTTGTGACTTCATTCTAGGCAATGACATATTCTCTAATTAAATCTCCCTGCTTCTAAATTCCAGTTCTTCCATTCCATCCTACAAATTCTCACCAGATTAATCTTATATCATCATCATTTTTCTGTGGCACCCCATTTTCATATTTCCTACTGTCTAGTCAATATGATTACAATAATTTTTCTTGGCATTCAAGGCTCTCCATGAAGATACTCTAATCTACCTTATAGCCCTATGTCTCACTACCTTTCTACATGCAAAATAAGTATAGTCATATATCAATGGTGGACATATACATACACATACACACACACACACACTACTTTGGAGAGCAGTTTCAAAGTATTTTAAAACAATAAATATTGTTTTATCTGGCATTTACCAACAGTTCTACTTATGGAAATTTACCTTAGAGAAATATTTGCATACGATATGCAACATATAAAAATACTTATTGCAGTATAATTTGTTAGGGCAAAAAGGAAAACATGAGAAGGAAATTTCCAACTGTTCTGTAATAGGGTATTTATTCATTTATTTATTAACTGGCATTTGCTTTATTTTACTGTTAGGGTAATGATTTTAAAAAATTATGATACAGCCATATAATGAAATATGCTGCTACTGAAAATAGCGTGGCTGAAAGAAAAAGAGGTTCAAGATATATCACTAAGAGAAAAAAGCTTTAAAAAATAAGCGATAACTTATATTTTAATTTTAATTAGTTAATTAATTAATTAATGAGTCAGAGTCTCACTCTGCTGCCCAGGCTGGAATGCAGTGGAATGATCATGACTCACTGCAGCCTTGACCTTCTGGGCTGAGGTGATCCTTCGCCTCAGAATCTCAAGTAGCTAGGACTATAGGCAGGCGCCACCACACCTGGCTAATTTTTAATATTTTTTGTAGAGACAAGGTCTTGTTATGTTGCCTAGGCAGGTCTCAAACTCCTGGGCTCAAGCAAACCTCCTGTTTTGGCCTTCCAAAGTGCTGGGATTATAGGCGTGAGTGACAGTGCCCAGCCATCACTTTTTCTTTCTTTCTTTTTTTTTTTTGAGTTGGAATCTCACTCTGTCACCCAGGCTGAAGTGCAGGGGTACGCTCACGGGATCATTCTGCCTTAGCCTTCCAAGTAGTTGGAACTATAGGTGTGCACCACTGTGCCGGGCTAATTTTTTGATTTACTGTAGAGACAAGTTACCCAGGCTGGTCTTGAACCCCTGGGCTCAGGCAATCCTCTTGCCTCTGCCTCCAAAGTGCTGGGATTACAGGCGTGAGCCACTGTGCCTGGCCCACTTTTTTCTTTTTTTAAAGTTGCCAATATTATACTATGTGAACAATGATGATGACAATGGTAAGGTGTCTGTATACATATGAAGAAGAAACCGGTACAAAATGTACCTGAGAACAATGATTCTTTCTAGAAGATAACATAGGAGATTGACTCTCTGTTATATAGGTCTGTAATGTTTGAATTTTTCCCATAATGAACATATTCTTTTTCTAATTACCAAAATACTTAAAAAAAAACTAAACTATTATGAAAAAACAAGTTAAGACTACAAATATAAGAAAATAAAGTACTTACGGTTGTCATATATTGGGTTAGAGACAACAGGAGGAAGAGCAGTTGTCAAATTACCAAGTTCATCAGGGAGGAAAACTTGAAAACATAGTCTCACCACATTGAGGTCACAATCTTCAATATCAATCAGCTGTTTTTCAGGGACTGAACAGTAAAAAAAAAATGTTAAGAATGTAGAATAGTCATATAGGCCTAAAGGCCTGCTAGGTCTTCCTCCCTGCTCATTATAGCCAATAACCTTGAGTATCATCCAAATCTGTACTAACAAAAACAGTATGGCACACAATCTCAAGAATGCCTTTTATCACTGTCATCAAATAGTCACTATTTAACAGTATTTGATGAATTATAGCCATGTTCAGGAAATAACTATCCCAGTCATCTGGGATTTAAAACAGAATCCCAAGCTGACATTTATAACAATCAAAGTTTTAAAAATTGGTTGCAGGTTGTACACAACAAAGAATAGGCATCCATTCATCCATCCATCCATCCAATAAATATATATTTGGTCTAGTTGTTGTGTTAATGATTCTGTAAATTAACTCCTAAATCTGTCCAAGAATTACTTTCATCTCCATTTTACACAAGGGACTAATTTTATTTTATTTTAGGGACAGAGTCTCACTCTGTCTCCTAGGCTGGAGTGCAGTGGTGTGAAGCCAGCTCACTACAGCCTCAAACTTCTGGGCTCAAGAGAGCCTTCTGCCTCAGCCTCCAGAGTAGCTGGGAATACAGGTGTGTGCCAACAAGTTCAGCTAGTTTTTGTACTTTTTGTAGAGACAAGGTTTCACTACATTGCCCAGGCTGGTCTTGAATGTCTTGGCCTCCCAAAATAGGAACTGATTTTAAAGAGATGAAATTACTTGTCCAAAGTTTCCCAGTTAGGACGTGGCAAAGTGGAAATTCAAACTTGGATCATTCAATTTGGAGCTTAAGCTTTTAAAAATTGAACTCTATTAGAAAAATTTACATATGTAATATATAAAAATGATATACACAGGAATATTTACCAACATTTCAACCATTTTAGAGATGAAATACCAAGAAGATACAAGATAATATAAGATGGCTAGTTTCCATAAGAAACTTTATGTGCAAATTAAGTTTGAATTTTAAAAAAAATCCCATACCAGAAAAAGTTGGCAGATCTGAAAAATTATAAAAGTCATGATAGAATATAGTATAATAGTTTGTGAAGTTGATATATGAAATGAAATACAGTTTCAAAATATTATTGCCTTTTCAAAGAATACTATAAACTGAAGCAATAAATTAGTCATATTTTTAAAGACATAAACATTGAATTATAAAATCTTATTTTGCAGATTAAATTTTAAATTTTGAATTACCAAATTTAAAAATACAGTGTAAGCCCAAATTTCTTAGATTTACAGGCAGTAACTAATAAAAATTATGATGCATTTCGTATTGTTTTTATCCAATGACATTCAGTCTCGGCTGCTATTACAACATTTAGAATTATCCCAGTATCAGCAAATTTAAGCTTAACATTTGAAAGAGTCTATAAAACACATCTGTACAACTAAAATATCAAAATGTTATGATACCAACACCTGTATCACAGCAGCATACTCTACTGACCCCATTATGCAGGCAATAAAAGTTACCTCTTCAAAATCAATTCTTACAGCATTATAAATTTAGAGTTCAGTGTATTAGTGTAGATTCCAAAGATGAGCAATTAATATGCAAAAACATTAGTAGTTAGGAGCTCCTAATAGTTCAAAAACAAGTGTATGTGAATTGATAAACAAATAGTGGTACAGTCATACAACGGAATCAGCTCAACAACAAATAAAGAACAACTATGGATATATACCTCCAAATGAATGTTATCTTAAAAACATGATGAGCAAAAGAAAACAAACACACAAAAAAATACATGCTGTGTGCTTCCATTTATATGAAATTCTAGAAAAGATTTATTCATAGTGACAGAAAGCAGATGAGCAATTGATGGGGCAGAGGCAGGGGACAGAACTGACTAAGATGGGGACCAAGGAAAGTTGGGGGATTGACGAAAATATTCCATATATTAACAGTGGTAGTGGTTACATAAGACAATATATTTGGGTGGATTTTATTATATCTCAATAAAATATCTTAATACATTATTAAGATATTTCAAGAGGCAGGAGGATTGTTTGAGGCCAGATCAAGACCAGCCTGGACAACATTAGTGAGGCCTCATCTCTATAAAAAATAAAAATAAAAAAGTTTTATTGGTACACAAAAGAAAAATAAACTAGTTAATAAACCAAACTTTAAAAACATTTAAACATTTCACCACACAATGGCTCCATTAAAGGGAAGAAATTCTGTCTAGTTCTCAAAAAAATCATTTTTATGAGATTTTGCTTTCAATCTTCTCAATGTGTGAAAACATAGTTACCACTTTATCAGAATTACTGTCATCTCTGCAAAACAATGGTTAAAAAACACTGACAGGCAGGAATCATGAATGATACTGGTTTTTACCCAGTGGAAGATTCAGTGGAAGGCTGAAAACCCAGCTCAAAGATTCCTTTTTTAAAAAAAATTATATTTTATTTTAAAGATGTAGGATACAAGTCAGGATTAGGTACATAAGTGGTCTACGTACAGGTGGAGTTTGGGCCTCCCATTGGTCCTCACTTCACCTGGTTTAGGATCAGGTACCTTTATTGATGTTATGTGCCCCACCTCCAGATCATTTTCTATAAAGCGTAACATCCTTTTCTGAAATGGAAGGAATATTTCCCCTCTCTAAATCAAGTGCAGGACTTGACCCATACTTCTCTCATGCATTTAGAGATTTTTAAAATCTCTATCTTTTTATTTTTTAGAGACAGGGACTCGCTCTATTGCCCATGTTAGAATGCAGTGGTGCAATCATAGCTCACCACAGCCTTGAACTCCTAGGTTCAAGTGATCCTCCCACCCCAAGCTCCCAAAATATTGGGATTAGTGGCATAAGCAACTGTATTTAGCCCAAGTTTTTAAATTTTACATGATAATCATTGATACAGGCTTCTATACTATTAGACAAAATTTCATGAAGTCAGAATCGGTGTCTGATGTATCTCCATTAGTCATGGAACATAGCAGTCTACATATACTTGATATTTATTATACATTCCTCAATTAATGAGTGATTGAATAATTACTGAAAGGTCTGTTGAACAACCAAACATTTAGATATTTTTATGTTACTGAAGAAAACTGTAAAGTTATTTTAAAAAGGATGTACTTTTGGTAATGGCAGATGACATATAATTGGAACCAACTGCATCATGACTACTTTAAAAGTGGACAAAATATGAAACACACTTTCTCTAACAACATCAGAAAGCTAAAAGGGTCATGAAAAATCATAGAACCAAGATATGGCAGAAAGAAACCCAGAGTTCAGAATGAGAGGCCATTTTCATGCCAATTTTCTAAGAGGTAGTTAAGAAGATTGAAATGAATCCTCAAGAAAGTATAGGGAAAAAAAGAAAGGAGTTCAAGGTCTGCTAAACATGCAGGATGTGATAAATGCCCAATGCTTTAGGGCATTTAGAATCTGGAAGAGCTATACCCTAAGAACAAGAATGAATAGACTATACACCAGAATAGAATAGAAATACACCAGATCTCAGGGATGAAAGTTCAGCTTCAGATAACCTAAATTATTCACTGATTTTAGGTGATCTGGGATGACTAGTGCACCTAGCTACCTGCCAGAAGAAATTTTCAATGGGGAGATAATAACATCCTAGGCCTACAATCTTTACAATTTTTCATACAAAATGACTGGTATTCTATTTTAAATAACCAGACATATAAAGAGACAAAATAAAATGATTTTTTAAAAGGACAGCAACCCCAGGCAATCTACAGATTTAACGTAATACCCATTAAATTACCAGCAACATTCTTCTCAGACCTGGAAATGGCAATACAGGAATTCATATGGAAACATAAACGACCATGAATAGCCAAAATAATCCCCAGCAAAAAATAAAAGACAACACGCTCCCAGACTTTAAGCTTTATTATAAAACTACAATAATAAAAACAGGCTGGTATTGGTACAAGAACAGGTATATATATAGACCAATGGAACAGGATAGAGATTCCAGAAGCAACAGGCTGGTATTGGTACAAGAACAGGTATATATATAGACCAATGGAACAGGATAGAGATTCCAGAAGCAAAACATCAATTTCTCAACCAACTCATCTTCGACAAAGCCTCCACCATCAACCATTGGGGAGAGGAGAGCCTATTCAGTAAGTGATGCTGGGAAAACTGGTTGACCACATGCAGAAGATTAAAACAAGACCCCTACCTATCACCATACACAAAAATAAACTCTAAATGGATCAAAGACCTAAATGTAAAACTTCAAACTATAGGAACCTTAGAAAACTCAGGAGACATCCTTATAGAAATTTGATAGTGGAGTCCCTAATTATATTCCTTACCCAATTTAGATTTTGGCACATATTAGACAATTTGAACAATCCTTTACATAAAGCCTCAAGTTTGACACTATTAGATTGCTATATGTCCCTATTTGCAAAACACAGTTCCTTAATTTTAAAGAACTAATGGCAAAAAATATAAGGACTGGTCTTAAAACATGTACTAGATGACGTAGTACATGAAATAACCCTAAGCAGAGTAAAATAAATTATTTGTATTTTCACAAGGTATTTAATCTTCAGAGAAGAGCCTGTCATATGAGACAGCAATAATCTACAGACCAGAACTTGTAGATCCTATTCTGTGAAGTATTTCTAAGTTTGTTATTTCTTTTTTGTTTGTTTTGTTTTTTTTTTGAGTTGGAGTCTCACTCTGTCGCTCAGGCTGGAGGGCAGTGGCACGCTCCCGGCCACCGCAGCCTTGACCTGCTGGGCTCCGGTGATCCTTCCGCCTCAGCCTTCCAAGTAGCCGGAATTACAGGCATGCGCTACCACGCCCGGCTGATTTTTTGATTTATTGTAGAGATGAGGTCTCGCTGCCCAGGCAGGTCTCGAACCCGCGAGCTCAGGCAATCCATTCACCTCAGCCTCCCAAAGGCACGGGATTACAGGCTGAGCCACCGAGCCCGACTCTGTTATTTCTTTATGTCATAAATATACAACACAGAAAG